TCTTACATCATCCTCTGTCGCCCTTCACCTACTTTTCTCTTGTTCATCCCCCTAGGAGAGGGTTATATGTTTTCCTTGTGATCAATTCCCCCTTTCTTCCCCCACCTTCCCCTTATCCTCCTGGTATCTCTAGTCTCATTGTTGGTTCTGAGGGTTTATCTATCCTGGATTCCCTGTGTTGTGGGTTATTATCTGTAACAGTGTGCATGCTCTGGTCCAATCTGATTTGTAAGGTAGTATTGAGGTCACGGTAGTTGGGGGAAGGAAGCATTAAATAACTAGAGGAAGGTTGTATGTTTCATCAGTGCTATACTGCACCCTGACTTGCTCATCTCTTCCTTGTGACCCTTCTGTGAGGGGGTGTCCAATTGTCTATAGATGGGTTTTGCGTCTTTGCTCTGACCCCCCTTGTTCTCCACAATAGGTCTCCCCCCAACCCCACGGTTTGTTTGTTTGCTTGTTTGGGGTCTTCTGATGCCCGTTACCCAATCCTGTTGACACTTCATGATGGCTGGTGTGCTTCTTCCATGTGGGCTTGTTGCTTCTCTGCTAGATGGCTGCTTGTTTAACTTTAAGCCTTTAAGATGGCTGCTGCTATATCTTCTTGTAGCCGGGCACCATCTGCTTTCTTCACGTTTGCTTATGCACCAATTCTGTCTTCAGTAATAGTGTCAGGTAATTTATATTTTTAAGAGATCAATTTATCAGCCAGGGTTTTCTTGAGGTAATGGAGAGCTCAAATTCAAGATTAATTTTTGTACATATTAACTTGAGAAGGATTTACAGTCTCAGAAACATGGAGGAACAGTTTTACTCTGTCCTACAGTGTCACACTAAACCCTGATAGCATAGTGCTTAAGTGTTGGGCTTCTAACTGCAAGATAAACAGTTCAAAACCACCAGCTGCTCTGTGATAAGTAGCCAGGGCTTTCTACTACCACAAGTAGTTATAGTCTCTTAAATCCATAGGGGCAATTCTACTCTATCCTATAGTTGGAATCAACTTGGTGCCAGTGAGTTTGTTTTTAGTTTTAAAGTAATCACTGTGAGTTGGAATTCACTCAATGGCAGTGATTTTGTTTTGGGATTTGTATTAAATATCCCATTGGAAATTTCAAGAAAAAGGAGGCTAGAAACTTAGAGTTTGGTAGGAAAAGATATTCAGGAGCTTCTCTTAGAAATAGATGTCATCATTTGGATCAACAAGAGTTAAGAAAAGTTATTTAATTTGTTTCCATTTCTGGCTAAATTTCCATGAAATCTCACTGTTCACACCCTCAAGTCACATATCAATGCTCACCCCCTAATGGTCACAGAAGACCTTTTATTGAATACAGGCTCATGGTCTAAAAGATAATCAATAACGAAAATTGCTCTTTCGTGTGGGGTTCAACTTTGTTGCATATAATCTCTTTCTGCGAAGAATAACCAGTACTAGAGAACCGAAAAACATGGAAACATGTACTTTAAGGAGCTCCCAAGCAAAGACTACATGTTAGAAAAGAAACCATAATAATTACAGACCGTGAAGAGGTACTGTATTTTACAATAACAATTCTGACCACTTGTCGACCAATTCTTGAGTATTTATCATGTGTCCAGAACTGCATTTTATGTTCATGATCTCATATAATTCTCATAACTCTATGAAATATTAGGGGGTGTAGATCCCTTGCTTGGTTGTTGTTGTTAGTTGGCTTCCAGTTGGTTTGGACCAACAGCGGTCCACCGTCCAGTCCCGTGCCATCGTACCATTGTTCTTCTGTTTGAGCCCCTTGCTGCAGCCACTGAGTGAATCCATCTTGTTGAGAGTGTTCTTCCTTTTACACTGTCTTTAGTTTCCTAAGCATGATATCCTTTTCCAGGGGGTAATATATACTGATAACATGCCTATAGTACAGGAGGCAAAAATCTCCCATCCTTGCTTCTAGGAAGCATTTTGGCTGTACTTCTTTTATCCATTCTTGGTACTTTCAATATTCTTTACAAGCACCATGTTACACATTTATTGATTCTACTTCAGTTATCCTTTTTCAGTGTCTTAACTTTCTCCCCAAAGTAACATCCTGGCTTTTCAACAATTTAAGGAAGTCTTGTGCAACATATTTCCCTAGTGCAATGCATCATTTGCTCTCTTGACTACAGATTCCATGAACATTGATTGTGGATCCAAGCAAGACAAAATCCTTGATAACATCA